AAACTATTTATCTATTTAGCAATGTATAATTAACGACCGGTTTTTTTAAGGAAAAAAAAGCCGGTCGTTAATTTTTCGGTTTTCGGCATCGAGAAAACTGAACAAAAAACCGGTTAACTAGTTGCGGTTTCCACCGGTTGCCAAACCCTAGTAAACACTTTAGGAAATGCATTATTAAGTAGGTCAAGACTATCATTTTTTTTACACAATTCATTTTCATAAAAATGATTTTATCGTCATATGATTTTTAAAAGTTCTTTTTTGTTTTTGGTGTAGCGACTTTGAACTTTTTTAGCCTTTTTTATGCAAATAGGTTAGTTATGAAGGTCATACTAGTCCCTTACGCTTATGTACATGCATAACATCATGTGTGCACACATACCCACAAAAATATTTGTATGAACACATGTATACATACATACATACATACATACATACATACATACATACATACATACATACATACATACATACATACATACATACATACATACATACATAATACATACATACACACACATACATATATACATACATAGATACATACATACATTCATACATACATACATACATATATACATACATACATACATACATACATACATACATACATACATACATACATACATACATACATACATACATACATACACACATACATATATACATACATAGATACATACATTCATACATACATACATACATACATACATACATACATACATACATACATACATACATACATACATACATACATACATACATACATACATACATACATACATACATACATACATACATACATACATACATACATACATACATACATACATACATACATACATACATGCATACATACATACATACATACATACATACATACATACATACATACATACATACATACATACATACATACATACATACATACATACATATACATAAACACATACATATACATATACACATATATATACATACGCATACACACATATGTATTTGCATACACAAAAATGTTTGTAGATCATTTTTTGAAATAAACAAAATAATTTACATGAATCAATTTATACTTTAGTTAACTCAAATTATTAAACCGTTTAAAACCGTGGTACACAATTATAACCGTAGTACATAATTGTAACCGTGGAACACAATTATAACCGTGGTACACAATTATAACCGTGGTACACAATTATAACCTCGTTATGTAAATTTTATCATGAGCCATCAAAAAATAGTAGTAAATTTTGTTTTTAAATTAAGTTTATTACATTTAAAAATTATAAAGGACATGCTAACAAATGCCAAGAGAAATTGCACTCTCCGATGAAGAAAAAGACAAGATCGAATGCTACAGTTCATTACGTTTATCAAACAGGGAAATTGTTTGCAAGCTGAGGTGTTTGATCAATAATTTCGTAAATGATCCAACAAATTATTGTACGAAACATCGAAGTGGTAGAAAATTATACTCACAGCTTACAAACAGCGACGAGTTGTGCATGCCGATTGTAACCGGACGATATCAGCGAGACAAATAGGCGCTGATTTTGGATTGAAATGCTCAAGATGGGCGGTGAATCGTGCAATTAACAAGTAAGGCGTTTTTAGATATGCAAAAAACAAACATCTCCAGCACTAACTGAAGTGCACAAACACAAACGGCCAATAACCACATGACTTGAGAAAAAAAAGAATGGAGAATACCAGTCGGTCAGTTGGTTTTGAAATCTTCCATCATTGTTCGTGAAAGAAAAATTGAATTGAAATTTTGATTTTTTAGTCTGTTGAAAAGAATATTAATCAAATGAAATAAAACATTTGTTAAATAAAAATTGTATATTTTTGTCACATAAATTGATTTAAGAGTTCCTAGACCCTTTATTGATTTTAAAATTCCGGGAAAGGTCTGCAAACAGTTTCATTGTGCCTTTTGAGCAAAATACAAGTGCAAACCTATTTAAAATGCCGAATTAGGCAAAAACTAATGATGACAACAGAAAAAACTGTCGGTTTTCTCCGTTTGAAAAAAGCTGACTGCTTTATGATTAAACGCTGTCAAGAAGTTTTTGGTCAAGCTATCAACTTTGAAAATCAAAGAGTCCTAATAGGTATTTGAAAAAACTGTCGAGTAGGCCTTAGAAAAAGAAACAATTTATAAACAATAAACAAAAACTTCAACTTCCCTCACTGCCTGGCAGCCAAAACATAAAGATTCAACAACAAGAGAATCACCATGTGATTGCATGATTTGTTATGTGGGAAAAACCAAGATTTAAAGCCCTCAGCCGATTGGAACAACAAACACAACCAGTCAGTCCAAAAAATAGCCAGTTGTTGAGAAACGTTGTTTAGCATGCTTTTCACTGATTGGAAGAGGGATGTTACATAATTTGCTTGAAGTTACAGCAAAAGCAGCAGAAAATGTAGCTGCTTCTGTTATAGCTAACAAAGTTACTTCACCCCATGACACTGTGCGCCTTAGTCAAGAAATAGAAAGGCATATTCCAGTTGAATCAATGTATGCAAAAACGTTCTAAGTCACAAAAACTATTTTTTCGGGAAACGAGAAAAAACTTATTAAATTCAAAATTATTACTTTAATAAATTTAAAAAATTAATCTTTAAGCTCTCTTTTATCAATATGTACGGAAATGTTTGACTTGGTTTTTTTATACAATGGTGGAACTATATTCAAAGAACAACTTTTCATCAAAAAATCAATTATTAAAAAAAAAAGACTTCGAACGTTTTTGTATACATTGATTCAGTTACTCCAGGTGAAAAATAATTTTTTTAGTCATTTATGTTTAATATGATTTTGTTTTAGTGACTCTTTGTCACTAAAACAAAACTCCTTTATTACAACAAGAAAACTTTATAATATGAGAAACTGTGTTATGTTGATGTAAACCTTTTTTTTTCAGGGCGATCAAGACAAATAGAACTTTTATCCAAAAACCACTCTCAAAATGAAGACAGCGTAAAGAAGATCATGGACGAATTGAGTCTTGAGGGAATGCCTTTTGTGTTGTCATGCGACATAAAGCTTGAAAACATTATTTGTGGTTTGCTGTCTCACTCAAGTGTTCACCCTTGTACCCGGTGTGACATTGAGTCAAAGAATCTTCATCAGAGTGGTGAGCTCTGAACATTTGGCACTATTCAAACTGATTATACTAGCTTCCAAACAGCAAGTACTTAAAAAAAAAAGCCAGGGATTTTTGTTTGTTTTGTCAAAATGTTGTGCATGAGTCAGTTATAAAGTTACCTGAAAGAACACTCATCTTGGACTTCATTTCACCCATGGAACTTCACTTGCTTTTTGGTGCTGTTAACCACCTCTTCAGAGTCTGCTTATGCAGTAGAAAAATGTACCAGAGTAGCCAAAAATGATTAATTTTCAACAACAAACTTTCCAAGGAGGGCAATTTGCCTGCAAATTGTGCAGAAAGCTTTTTTAAACTTGCGGAAAAGTATGCTTGTTTTTTAGGATTTTCACTCATTAACATATTCAGAAAGTTTGATGCAGTTGTTCATGCCTCTATTGGAAATATTTCTCAAGACAACTATCGCATCTTCATTGAAGAATTCAAGGATTCCTACTTCAAGCTTCCAAACATGAGTGTCACTCCCAAAGCGCTTGCTGTCTTTTTTCATGTAGCACAGTTTGTTTACAGTCACAACCACTTACTGGGTATCCATTAAGAGCAGGCAACAGAATCACTCTATCATGACTTAAACCATGGCAACAGTTCAAAAGGCCGAGTAATCATCCAGACTACCTTAAGAATCGTCTAAACTGTTTGATTGAATAAAACAGCAAGCATTTCTTTTAACTTCTTTGTAGAGAATACTGTATTATAACACATGATATGGAAGAAATTAACCTTTAACATCAATTTTTAAGAATTATATTTAGTATAAGTAATCCTTTTTTTTAAGTTGCTTGATCTGTTAAGCCATAATCTAACTTTTATTTTAATTTTCTGAAGAAATTGAATGCTTTTTTATTTGTTGCTGTTTTTAAGTTGTAAGTTCACTGCTTATTTATAGAATAAATATGTTAGAACAAGTTTCAAACGTAACTCACTTGTTCAGAGCAATAAAATCGAAAATTCAAGTTAATTTTTCTTTCACGGACGATGAAAGATTTTAAAACCAACATTAATGTACTGCATACTTGTACTATCATATCACTAAAGGTTTTTCTTGAGAAAAGAGGTTCGAAATAAAAATCATTTTGTGACAGTGAAATAATTGTCTCAATGCAGTAATGTATGGTGTTACAAGATTACTTGTGGTGCAATAACTTAAGATAATGTGGTTCATGCCATCAAAAATAGTTTATTTTTAAATTTAAATGTTTCCCATAACAAATTAAAATGGCAATAAAATTTTTAGACTTTTAAACACGTCTTGTGCTAACTGGGTTTAAACCATTAAAATAAAATAATCAAAAATATTTAAGCTTTATATATATATATATATATATATATATATATATATATATATATATATATATATATATATATATATATATAGTTTTATGTAAAGTTTGGTGTCCTTTTAATGTATTCATATATATATAGTAAACGTTGTAAAAGGTTTACAATATTGATATTATTAATCAATATTAACTTTATATACTAATTCTGAAAATTAAAGCGCACATTTCAAGAATTTAAGTGCACAAAACATATTATGAAGTTGCGTTCTTTGAGACGTAATATTCGTTTGCAAGATAACGAAGAAAACCTCTCAAATCTCTTAGGTTTGTACTAGATATAATAAAAAATTTTTATCAATCAATTTGTATCACAGAACATTTGGATAAAAGTTTAGGTGGCTATTAGTTTATGTTTAAAGTAAAACAATAATGTTTATTATTGCAAAGTTATCGCAATGGTATCGTAATTCTTAAGTCAAAAAATAGTCTGGTAAATAAAAAATGAATTTTATCACAATACATTACATCATCTTTATAAATAAAGAAATTTCCGTTTTAAAATAAAATGTTATACTCCAAACTTAAAAGGCAACAATTTAAGAAAAACTTATTTTAGAAACAGGTTTGTAGAACCTCTAAAATTCTTATTTTTTATGCAATAATGCGTTTGCCCAATTAAAAAAATTCAAACTAAAAAAACTCGCCTAAAAAAAAAAAGCTTTTTTTAAAAAAAAAAAATCGGGCTTTAAAAACATATATACATGAAAATAAAATATAGACAATTTTAGATAAAAGTTATTGAGCTGTTTCTTGTCCTCAAAAATACAAAATTCACACTTTAAAGTATTTTTAGCGAAACAGGTTTGTTATTTAAATATATGAACTATTAAGATAAATATATTTATTATTTTAACAATGATAAAAACGAAATTTAAAATTTTCCATTTCCTAATATCTAAGCAAAATGCATATGTTAACCGCGAATAAAATTTTTAAAAATTTGTGGAAGACACAAATTGCGTAAAGATTGGCAGATCATTACTGAAAACTGCTTAGATATTGTCCTAATACGACATTTAACAGGTCTAATTTTAAATAACCAAGTTTCCTAATCAATTTTTGATTTTTATTGCTGCAGCCTTCACCGCGATTTTCTGCTTCCTAAAATAACAAATACAAAATAACTTTATTATAAACAATCGTTGCTTCTAACTCCATATAAATATATATATATATATATATATATATATATATATATATATATATATATATATATATATATATATATATATATATATATATATATATATATATATATATATAATCAAAATTATATATAAAATCAAAATTTCGTTTTTTTTTATCACTCAGTTATAAGTAAAATAAATGGTGCTTTAAACTAATGGAAACTAATGAAGAAAGATTACCACTATATATATAAATCAAAAGCAGTAATCAAATTTAAAACTTTAAATGTTTCTCAGAACAGCCAAAGCGGACTTAAGACGGTCTTGTTTTGCAGCGCAAATTAATTTGTAGATTTTTTTCATATTTTATATAGTTTTAAGATTATCTTAAGTACATTTGCATTGATATATTATGAAAAATTTATTAACATTTATTTGTTATATTATAAAAAATAATAACATATTCTATAAGCATTTTAAAAACAATTTGGTTTAATTATGAAAATCAAACGCATTGAAGAATTAAAAAAAAAACTTTGAATGCCTTTTTCTCAGAACAACAAAAATGGACTTAAGATCTTGTTTAAAGTCTTGTTTTGCAGCGATATATATATATTAGGGTGTCCCAAAATGACATGAATTTTTTTAGTTTTTAACTATTTCTAGATTTTCAAACAGTTTCATATGTATTTTTATTTACTAAAAGCAAAAAAAAAAAAAAAATCAAAAAATTTTCATATTTGACCCCCCCGCCGCTCTTTTTTTTGTGTTTTTTTTCTAAAAAAATGACACAAAGGACTAAAATTATTTTTGATAATCAACTATGTTCGTATTTTATATAATTTTCTTGTGTAATTTTGTTTGATAAAACATAATCAATAGTTATTTTCAAAAAAAAATTCATATTTGACCCCTCCCCCCTCATAACCCCTTTAATGTGTTTTTGCCCTAAAACAATCCTTAATATACTCCTTTTATATATCTATTATTTATATCCAATATAATTAACTGTTATTATAATTTCAAATAGTTTTGTAATAAATAAAAATGAAAATTTATTAAAAATAAATTTTCACCTGGTTTATGACCCTCCCCCCCCCCATCCTTTCTAATATTACCTTTGTCGTATGATTTTTTTCTGCCTAAATAAGGAATTTTATAAATTATAATTTTTAATTAAAACAAAAAATTTGATAAATACTCAATTATTAAACAAAGAAGGATAGAAATGATTGGTATAAGTTAACAATATTAAAGCACAATGGGAATAAGTACTAAGAAGTTCAAAATCTCATTTTTTTTAAATTATAACAACAAAATAACAATATTTTAAAGGTATAATAAAAAAGAGATTTTTTAAAGCATATTTTCAAAAATTAAGTTTTTGAATTGCTTGTTTATTTATGTGAGGAAGAACTTTTCGGTGGTGTTCTACTGCACGTAAAAGAAATTCTTTCTGCTCATCATCTTTTGTAATAGATGTTGCATAGTCTTGAATTAGTTTTACAGCTCGTTCTGCTGTATCGTTTACAGATTTCAGTGATTTGATATGCTCAAACATGTGATTAAAATTTGTGTTAGTTTTCCAAAACTTTGGGGATTCTACCAACCAACCGCCATCCTCATTTGAATATCCGAATAAATTTAGAATGTTACTTGATTTTGGTCCAATTAAATCAGTCAAACAAGTACTCTGCTTCAGAAGAGGAAATTGTGGAAAGCCTATATCATGTTCACAGTTTTCTTTTATATTTTTCAGAATTATTTTAGCCATTTTAGTTTTATCTCGATCAGATACCTTATCAGAAAATAATGAAAGAGGGGACATTTCTTCAGTTAAATACCAAAGATGCCGATTAAATGTTTCCAGGGCAGCAACAGCAACATCATTGTCAATTTTTTTATAAATAAGCATTTCTTTGTAGAATTCCAGGTCATTAAATGGAGCATCGACTGTGCTTGTGCACGTAAGCCATATTTTCACATAAAATAGTAAAGTAAATTTACAAAACCTTGACAATTTCTCTATAAAACTTTCTTCATACTCTGCCAGGTCAGCAAAAGCAAACATCTTTGATGTGTACAAGATTGTACACATCCATCTAGCATGATGGAAGGCTCCAGGTTTGTGCCACTGTATATTTATTTGTTTTGGATTGAGTAATTGCAAAGCAAGTTGACAACATTCTCGATAATCATCTCTTAATATTTTTCGAGATTTCCGGTTAAGTAAACCAGACAAAAAAATTATTACTTCTGCTTTTTTGGTCTTTAATACTGGTTCTTCGATCTTTATTTTTCTAAAAGTAGTATCTGAAGTTAATGAAAGCTTAGGCCATACCTCATTTTTAAAGTGTCTAAATGGCTCATAATTTGGAGATCTGCATTCTCCAAAAACTTTGAAGTAAACAGATGACAAAACTCTTTCAAAAATATGGTGTCGGCAGGCGCACCAAAGTAACTTTTTGTTAAAGTGTTCTTCAATTAACTTTGCAGAACCATTTATCCAACCTGAATTTGATGGAGTTGTGTCAAAAATCATTGCCACAAGTGTTTTTTCCAGTTTCCATGTCTTTACAGCATCTATGGTAGCTGTTGCCTGACTTCGCCCAGTTGTATCAGGAATCCTGGATACACACAACAATTTCCCTTCAGGTGCACTTGGTTTTCCTGTTACAACAATAGCCAAACGTTCCACTTTACCATCGACCTCAGACACCAGCTTTGAATCCCAGTGAATGGAAGAGTACATGGGTGAAATGAATGTTTTCTTAAGATCATTTGAAACTTGCTGTCGAATTTTATTACCTGATCTGTACGCTGTGCTTTTTGAGATAGATATTTCATCTAAATTGTGACCTAATGCTTCAGCTACAGCTAAAATGATTCCAGATCTTTCTCTGTTGGATAGATTCAACCTATCAGCCATTAAGGAAACTTTAGGGTTTTCTAATATCTTGATTTTTTTTTTCTGTCTAGCAATAGTACTTTCTTCATTTTTATTATGCGTTTTGCCTTCATTATCAAATGCTGCCAATACATTGAAGCTTTTTTCTTTTATGTTTTCTTTTCTAGATTTCTCTTTTTCAATAGCCTTGATTTTATTTTTCTCTTTTTCCTCCATTCTTTTCACTTTCATAGCATAACTCTTGTCTAATGGGCCCAAAAATTGCTTTTTTAAGTGACGTTGATCTGAGAGAAAGTCTATATCTGAGATCTGACTATTGATACTACGCAAGGTATCTTTTCTTATCAAATTTTCGGCATTTGATGCTGCAATATCAAACAATAATGATAGTTTATTAGTAAAACTCAGAAGTTGAGCTGCATAACTTTTTTTTTTTGCATTTTTAATCAAGTTCTCTCTAAGATGAATCAGATGTAGTATCATTCTGACAATATCTTTCTTCTGTTTTATTGGAATTCCTGCCATTTTCCAAAAAACAAACTTTTTCCCAAACTACAGATGCAACTTCTTTTTTACCAGTTAATTTCAATTCAAATCTTGTAAGATAAAGATAATGGCGTACAACATCTCCATTTGTTGGTAGCTGACTATACATCTTTGCTTCAAGGGTAGGTAATAATTTACCAACAATATTATCAAACTTCTCATCATTTTTCCTCAATTTACTATTTCTCATAACTGATCAAATATTTTTTATATATGCTATTATATCTATAGATAAAAAAGTAGCTATAAATTATAAAATTATTTGAATAATGTATGTAACATTAATATTCATCATAAAAAATTTTCTCATCTCAAGCATTGAATAATAATATTTAATAATTTTTGAGAATCGTTGAATTGAAACAAATTATGTTTACTAATATTAGCTATGATACATAGTTTAGAATTATAATAGTGATCAATATTGATACAAAACATATTTAATACATTTATATATTTAGCCTAAAATCAGTTTAAAAGTGAATAATTTTGAAAAAGTGGGCGGCAGAGGGGGTAAAAACTTTAAAAGAAGGGCGGGGGGGTCAAACTTCAAAATTTTTCAAAAATCTTCTTATTTTCACTTTTAACGGACAAAACTACACACAAAACTAAAGGAAAAAAAAAAATTTTTTTTTTTGGGACACCCTAATATATATATATATATATATATATATATATATATATATATATATATATATATATATATATATATATATATATATATATATATATATATATATACATACATACATACTAGAATTCCGAAATATTTAGATTTCATTAAGTTCTAAAAACTAAAGTTGAGAATTGAATCAGTTAAATTTTTTAAAGGAATTTCACTGATTCAACTTGAAAGTTAATCCTTTTGTAAATTAAAAATTTAAAAAAATTAAAAAAAAAATAATTTAAATCAAAAAATTAAAAACTTTATAAAATAGTATTTGTTATTAATTCCTTTGACATTTTTGAAAACAGCAATAAAAAAACTACCAAAAATTATAAAATATAAGTACCCAAAAACAAGATAACAAAACACCCAGAAACAAGATCTAAGCGCCCAAGATACTTTTTATTAGTATTTCCTGTTAAAATTGTATTAAATCAATAAATTCGAATGCCGACTGGGGGTTTGGTTTGGGCAGGCAGTGCCTATCATTTAGGGAAAAAAAGAAAAGACTTTTCTATGGTTTTTACGTATATATTATATATGATGATGACTCAAGAAGACGTTGCTCCTTCAAAGGTCAAGAGGTCAAACCCTTGATATAGTTAGTGCTTATCTCCAAAACCCTTGCATCTCACACAGTCAACTCTATGTTATATGTTAAAAAACAAGACCGTTTAATACCTTATTTTAAAGAAGTTAAAAAAAATCTGTTTGCTTTTATATAAAAAATCAGATTGTTTGATCTTTTTTTTTTCCAAGTTGTTAAACATTTATTATGAGGTATCTCATTAAATAAATATTACAAAAATAAGGTTGTATTTGTAAAGCTTCTAATTTATATATTTTTCTTAATTTATATATTTATTTATATTTGTGTCTTATTTATTATGTGCTTATATGTGTTAAGGTTATATGGGTTTATATTTTGTAAGTGTGTAAATATCTTTTATATATGAGTGTTTCTATGTTTGTAATATAATGTTATTTGTTTATAGTTAGTAAGTGGTTATTATGTTGTTTTCATGGTTTCAAATTGTTATGACTTGGCTTAGTTTACGGCAAGAGTGTTGACCTTGCTAGTTAATTGGTCAACTTTGCCATAATGTGACTTTGTTGGGAGCAAGATTATTGTCCATGCCAATTAAGTGGTGTACTGTCATAATGAAAAACATAAATTAAATCTGTTTGCAGTTAGTGTATTCATAAAAAGTGTTGAAAAAATATTGTTGAAAGAATGTGTTTATAAGAAATGTTGAAAAGATATATAGTTTTATATAATATCTATAATTTTTTTAATATTTATAATTTTAAGTAAACAGATTTATAGTTCATTAAATATTTTTTATACTGTTAATTTGTAATTAACAGTATAAAAAATATTTAATAATTGTAAATTTGTTTAAAAGATATATACTCTGTTCTTTTTTGTTAACAATTTATGATTTTTATGATAAATTTTGTTAAAAAACTGGTTTCCTTTTTACAAATAGCTTTTCCCCATTTAAACATTTAAGTGTCTTTATTTCCTCCATTAAATATGTTTAACTTAAATTTAATGTTTGTTTTTTTATAAAGGTATGTTTATAAAGTGTTATATAAGTTTTAGTAACTTTCATTAAATTTTTAGGATTTTTCGTAAAGAAAATGTTTTCTCCATAATAATATTTCAATGTTTTATATATTGACCTTTTTTCTTTAAAATATTAAAACAGTTCAAGAAGTTTCAATATTTTCAAGTTTTTTCACCTGAAGCAAATATATGATTGTTTATAGAGGTTTTCTATTAATAGTTTTGTATTTACTTATTAATTGCAAATCTCACATTAAATGCGTTTCAAATTAATGAAAGAGATTTTTTGACGAAGGATTACATTTTACCATTTAATGCTAGCAGGATTTGCTGAGCAGACATCCCTTATAATTTTTTCAATTTGCTTTATTTATGAGTTCTCATATGTAAAAACTTTGTAAGTTTTATTAACATACTTTGATCAAATACTAATAATATTTTGTCAATAATTATTAATCATTTATAAAGATTATACCAATAGAAACATGTTATCTTTACACATTGCTATTGTATTTTAAAACATCAAATTTAGATATGACTAATAGTAGAGGTAGAATAAAATTAGATTTTATTATATTATTATATATTATTATATATTATTATTATATATTAAATTAATATATTATCTGTTTTATTTGCTTACGCTTTATTTAAGATAAGTTAAGTAAGAAAACTAAAAGTTTAATCATAAAATAAAAGTGCAACTTTTATTATATTAGGCATCATTTTTACACACTCCTTTGATGATTAGCTATGTCTGATAATTAAAGGAGTAAAATTAAAGGCTTCGTTGAAATTAAAGAAACCAGGCTAGGCAAAATGAATTTAACCGTCACCAAAATGAAAGAGATGAGCTTAGGCTAGCTGAAGCAAATTGTTGTTAAAATTAAAAAGATGAGCCTAGGTGAGCTGAACCAATAAAGTTTGTGCGGTTTTTTCTAATTTCTATTTACTAACAAAAGTATTATAAGATAATGGTTGTGGTAGGGAGATAATTTTGTTTATAAATTAAAACTTGTTTCAAGGAGAATCAATCAGTATGTTTCATAAGTTTTATTAGTGCGAAAACAAAGCAAAAATAGCCAATAGATCCATTCAAAACAATTAATGGTAGCAGGTGAATCCCTATTTTTTTTTCCACATTATGATTGAATGGAAGGTTATACCATATG